GGGGGCGCGGGGCCGCGGGGCCGCGGGGCTGCGGGGCTCTCTTGGGCTCTTTCCTGCCGAGGGAGCTCCAGGCCCATCTGATTCCTGAGCACCTTGCCGAGTCGGAAACCAATGGTTCGACATTGTTCCCAATTGCACAGCAGCTCTTCACTGCGAGCCATTCGCCAACAGATTTTCAGAGAGAGTGGACGAGAGAGGGAAATATTGACGGCATCAATTGGTTGCCTCTTGCACGGACCCCAACCAGGGCATGGACCCCAACCAGGGCCTGGGCCGGGGAGGAGCCTGCAACTGTGGTACGTGCCCTTGATTGGAATCGAACCCGGGACCCTTTGGTCTGCAGGCGGATGCTCGATCCATTGAGCCAAACCGGCCAGAGCACAATTAGCCACCTTTTGGCTGGCGGTTTTATCTAGCAGAGCACACATCATGGCCTAGGACGAGGGCGCTTTGTGGTCATGGTTCGCATGGTGCCTTCTCTCTTGGCAAGGAAGGTCCAGTTGTTGCCATAGCAGGTGGCCAGTCGGGGTGCTTTTTCGGAGTAGAGATCGCGCTGTTCCCTGGGGCACACTTGGCAGTGGCTCCTTGGAGAATCTCACCTTGCTGGTCCCCAGGGTCTCTGACCCTTCTCCGCAGGCAGTGGCAGGAATGGTCTCAGTTAGAACAATTGCTGGGATCACCTGACATCAGACACTCTTGGTTCTGTGGGAGCCACTGGGAGAAGTCACATGGAAAATAGGAGGAGTGCCGGGAGCACCCACCCCTTTCTCACCAAAAAGTTGGGCCCTGAACCAGAACCAACACCACCGTGGCTTGTTTATTTTTAAATATTTTATTTTGAAATAACCTCAATTACAGAAAAGTTGCAAGAATATGTATATACCTTAAACCAGACTAACCTAGTGTTAGTATTTTGCCCCATTTGCTTTTCATTCTCTCTTACTCTCTCTCTCCACTTGAAAATAAGTTGCATGCATCATGCCCTTTTGTCCTAAATAATTTAGTGTTATTTCCTTACAATAATGAACCTCATTTACAGAATCACAGTTAGGAAAGTTAATATTGATGTCATAATTTAACATCCACATTTCCTTTTTAAAAGTGGCGCAGTCGTGTCCTTTATGCTTTTTTATCCCCTCCATGCAGACCCAGTCCAGGACCGACGTCGCGTTTAGTTTTCCTGTCCCTTTCGTTTCCGTCCAGCTGGACGATTCCTTGGCTTTATTTGCCTTTCCCGACATTGTCGCTTTTAAAGAACACAGCCTCCCCCTTTTACAAGTGGAATGGCCCCCAGCTGGGCTTGGTATTTTCTCATGATGAGGTTCTGCGGTGATCCCCACGCAGGCTCCTGCAGCGGCGTGTGCGTTTTCTCCCAGCATCACCGCCACCAGGGGCGTACTCTATTCCTCTCGTGGGTGATCAGCAGATGGATACCCTGATGTTGTCAAATGTCTCTACTCTGTGGTCATTATGTCTTTTCTCTTGCAAGTCATGAGCAATCTGTGAAGAGACACTTGAAGACCATGCAAGTATCCTGCATGTCATCGCACCCTTCACGTTTCAGTGTGTGTCAGCCGGTAGCCATGGTTACTAATGGATGGTTTCCAGCTCCATCCCTCTCTCCTTCTCTTTGTCTGCCCTTCATCCATCCATCCGTCTACTTGTCTCAGGCATCTGTCTCTCTTATCAATATAGATACACAGATCTCTGATTCTCTTAATAATTCATATCTTATATTACATCTATCAATAACTTTACTGTTAAAGCTGTTCCAGTCTCGGCCTGTGGAAGCCCCTTCATGTTGCCACCGATGTCCTTGGGGCATGCCTCATTCATTTCCTTACTTTCTGCATAAAAAATATTCCACACTCATCTCTTAACCTCCCCAGTCCTAGACTAGAATCTACCATTAGTCCAAGAAGCCCGGTTCCTTTTGGTGGGGAATGTATTAGAAAACAAGATCTGGGTGAAGCTTACCCATTGCTATTGGAGTATTCTTGCTTTATCTCCAAGCCTTTCAACAGAGGTATCTTAGAACTAAGAACTAACACACGCGCGCACACACGCACATGCATGCACCTCTATTTAAACCTCTGGTTTCTGAGCTTTGGAAGTTGGAGGTGCACAGGGAGTGCTTGGTGGCTGGGGTCTCAGGAAAGGGCGATGTAAACCTGGCGCGCCTTACCGCACTTGGGAGGAGTTGGTAGCAGATGCTGTGAGTCCTGAAGCTGGAATTCGGGGCGCGTGCTCTTTCCATAAAGCCACCCACAGGGAGAAGAGTTCCAAGGTTTCCACTGACCAGCACATCTAGTCGAACCTTTTAATACGCCCCCAAAGCCTTCCTTTTAACCCACTTCCTCCTACTCCTCTGTGCTGTCTCCAGTTTATCTAAGACACTCTCTGTTCTTGCTCCAGTCCGCACGGCATGGACTTGCTGATCTGCCCCAGGCCAAGGACACCTTGCTGCCAGGCTATGTCTGTGCCATCTGTTAGACGGGAGCTCCCACCCAGAGGGAGTGCTCCTGGGCTGTGGGTGCTGACGGGACAGCCTGGTGGCACTGTTTGTGAAGTGAGTGCAGCCAGAGGGTGAGGGGTTCTCTTTTCCCGGACGTGATGGCTAGTCACCACCCCTAGCTGGGCCTGCAGCGCTGGAGGAAGCTCTGGGAAGCACCTCTTATAGAGAGAGACATTGGACAGAAGCCTGGTTTCTTGGGGCGAAAGGCCATGATTCAATGAGAGATGTCCTCTAGGATGTCTCGTCCAGACCTGGGGGACATGGGTCTGGTCGGGAGAACTGGAATGTGTGCCCTTGATGAAGCACATCCCTGGGTACTGAGGGGTTCACCTGGCGGGGTCTTGCAGAATGGGGGTTAGGTCTCCCTTGGATTTAGAGAGACAACCCCTGCTCAGTGCTTAGATACTTCGACCAGCCCTCTTGTTGAAACAACTCCCAGAGGCATTTCAGGGCCAGGGGATGTTTATTACTTACGTCGGTCTGTCCCGGGCTTTCAGACAGATCCAGACAACAAGGTAAGTCATGAAACGTGAGCCATATAGATGTCATGTGATTTGCTGTCACCATAAACCTGTAGTCAGTGTTATAACATTCCTAAGTTAGAGACAAATGTGAAGATCCCTCCTACAGACATATTTAATCAGTGATGAGCCAGATGTCAGCTCCTCCACTGTGTGGAGGTGTGGTCAGGGTGTGCAGGAGGCCTTCAGCCCAGGAAAGAAGATGATTCTGTCAGCACTTAGTGTGGGGCTGCTGAGCTGGTACTGTGGGCAGAGCTCTCATTGCCATCAAGTTAATTCTCAGTATTCCCCTTCATGTCCCTGGGTTCTGAGACACTATGAAGGAGTAATCGTGTGCACAAGAGCTCAAAAAAAGTTTCAAAGGCAAGATCTTACTCTCCCAGGAGGCAGTGGGGACTTTTCACAGGTTGTTAGAGTACACGGACTGTAGGTAGATTTCTTCTGTGCTCCTGGATTTGTCTCTTCCCAAGTCAAATTTTAACAAACTAAAATAATACAGAGAATGGGAAGGTTACCTGAAACTTCATGATGAGCAGCGTGTGCCGTATTATTTACTAGAGGCCTGATGCATGAAAATTCATGCAAGGGTAGGCTTTCCTTTCCCCGGCTGCCAGTACTGGCTTCCCTCTGGCACCCGGGACCCAGGCTTCCCTCCTCTGGCTGCCTGCAGGCACCTGGGACTAGGGCTGCTTCCCTCCTCCAGATGCCTGCAGGCATCCGGGACCCAGGCTGGCTACCCTCCGGCCCCAGCTTTATCAGGAAGGATGGCCAGAATGACGTCCGGAGGACGTCCAGTCTAATTAGTATATTACCCCTTTTTTATTATAGACTAGAGGTCCAGTGCATGAAATTTGTGCACTGGTGGGGGGGGGGAGGTGTCCCTCAGCCCAGCCTGCACCCTATCCAATCTGGGACCCCTTGGGGGATGTCTGACTGCCGGATGTCCAATTAGACCTAAACCGGCAGTTGGACATCCCTCTCATAATCCGAGACTGTTGGCTCCCAACCGCTCGCCTGCCTGCCTGCCTGATTGCCCCTAACCGCTTCTGCCTGCCAGCCTGATCACCCCTTAACCACTCCTCTGCTGGACTGATTGACACCTAACTGCTCCACTGCCAGCCTGGTCACCCCAACTGCCCTCTCCTGCAGGCCTGGTCGCTGACAACTGCCCTCCCCTGCAGGCCTGGTCCCCCCAACTGCCCTCCCCTGCAGGCCTGGTCCCCCCTACTTGCCCTCCCCTGCAGGCCTGGCCCCCCCCAACTGCCCTCCCCTGCTGGCCTGATTGCCCATAACTGCCCTCCCCTGCCGGCCATCTTGTGGTGGCCATCTTGTGCCCACATGGGGGTAGCCATCTTGTGTGAGGGTGTGATGGTCAATTTGCATATTACATCTTTATTATATAGGATGTGCTGAGTTCTGTGACTCAGAGACTTGATCTATTACAGACGCTTCTAAGCAGAAGTGCAGGTTGAAATAAAACGTGGAGAATGGGTAGGATTCAGTTTTGTGAAGGCTTCCGGGGGCTGTCTAGGTGGGGAAGAGTGTGAGCAGGGAGGTAGAGGTGACCATATGCAGAAGGTGAGGAGGAGGTGAAAGAAGCCAGAAGGCAGCAGATAAGAGAGATGAAAGGCAAAGAAGAAAAACAATCTGTAGAGTAAAAATACCGTCACAAAGTCTATCCATAGTCAAAGGAAGTGCAAAGAAGGGAAAGGGCCTTGAGACTCTACTGTGGACCTATTATATTCGCTTATTGATCCTCAGAACAACTGAGCTAGGTGATCATTGTCCTTATTTGATAAAAGCAGAAGCTGAAGCTCAGGGGCAGTATCCACAGCACTTGTTCTGTCCCAGGTCTTTGAGTCAGGAGATCTGGATTTGGATCTCTCCCCAGTACTTACTGGCAGATTAAATTACGTCACTGAACTTCTGTTTCCTCATGTATAAGGCAGGATGATGAGACTTGCCTTATCTTCTGGGTTATTGGAAAAAGTTGCACCAAAGTGCCTAGGACAATGGCTGGGATGTAGCAGGAGCCCAACATAGGCTCACAGAGAGCTAAGTGCCCTGAAGGAGCACATGGGTGAGGGGTTCACTGAGCCTTTGATGACCTCAGATGAGGACGCTATGGCTTTTATCAAACTCACTGTGCTGTCAAATAACAGAACACACATAGTACACACATGCATGCACACATACACACATGTATTCATGCTTGCACACCTGTTCATGTACACATATACACATGCACACACCCATACACGCATGCACACACTCACATATGCACATACACACATGCACATACTCACACACGCACACGCTCACATATACATGTGCACACACATACATACTCACACACCTACACATGCTAACACACATGCACACACTCACACCCACATGTGCTCACACCCACACATGTACACACTCACATACGCACATGCTTGCACTCACATATATACATGCACACACACTCACATGTACACATGCATGTGCTCACACCCACATATGCACATGCTCATGTACACACATACACATATGCATATGCTCACATGCACATGTGCACATGCTCCCATACACATGCATGCACATGCTCACATACACATGCTCACATATGTGCACACATATACACTCACATATACATATGCACATGCACACACTCATGTGCACACATGCTCTCATACACATGCATGTGTGTGCTCACATACACATGCTCACACACACATGCGCACACACATACACACATGCATGCTGATGAGTGCACCCACACTCTGTGACCTCTGTCTTCTCCTTGACCACCTGCAGCTCTGGACTGCCCGGAGAACAGCCACTTTGAGGAATGCATGACCTGTACAGAGACCTGCGAGACGCTGGCCCTGGGCCCCATCTGTGTGGACAGCTGCTCGGAGGGGTGTCAGTGCGACGAGGGCTATGCCCTGCAAGGCAGCCAGTGTGTTGCCCGGAGCGAGTGTGGCTGCAACTTTGAGGGGCACCAACTTGCCACAAACCAGACCTTCTGGGTGGACCTGGACTGCCAGATCTTTTGCTACTGCAATGGCACGGACAACAGCGTCCACTGCGAGACCGTCCCCTGCAAGGATGATGAGTACTGCATGGAGGAGGGCGGCCTGCACTACTGCCAGCCCCGCACCGATGCCTCCTGCATCGTCTCAGGCTACGGCCACTACCTGACCTTCGACGGCTACGCCTTTGACTTCCAGACCAGCTGCCCACTCATCCTATGCACCACGGGAAGCAGGCCGAGCGCAGAGTCAGTCCCCAAGTTTATTGTCACGGCCAAGAACGAGGACCGGGACCCATCACTGGCCTTGTGGGTCAAGCAGGTGGACGTGACCGTGTTTGGCTACAGCATAGTGATTCACAGGGCCTACAAGCACACTGTGCTGGTGAGTAGTCACAGACCAGAGCCCAGGACGGGGGTCGTGGGGACAGGAGGACAAGGGTTCTTGGTCAGTAAGCCCGGTTGTGGCTGCACTAGGCTGATTCAGAATCCAAGGAAAAGCCCAGAGAGGATGTTAGCGTGGTTGGGGCCGGAGATGGTCTGTCTCTTTATCTTACAGATAAAGGAGGCTGAGCCTCAGAGAGGAAAATGATCGTCCCAGGTCGCAGCTACCTAATGAGGCACCAGCCCCAGAGGGGGCACCTTTCGTGCTGTGGCCGAGTGCTGGAAAGAGCTCAGACCTCGATTCAAATGCTAGTGTCTCCACTGGGTGCCTTGGGCAGTCACTCTGTCTGGCAAGGAGAACACGTGCTCAGCACAGATTGGGCACCTAATGTGGTCCTACTGTCTGACCCACATCCTTCCCTCTTTCAGGACCAGAATGATGTTTGTCTGCTCTGGCCTCTGACCCCCTCGCCCCGTCCCCTCTTGGCTCTCATGGGATTGGGGAGCTCAAGAGTCTTGCAAGCATTCGGAGGCCTCGGGGCTCTCCCACAGGCCTGTTCATGAGGCCTTGGTTTCCTCCTTCTGTCCTCCCCACCTTTTCATTCCCTGGACCATGAAGGGAGGAGCAGCAGGACCTGAGGAGTTCCGTACACTCCTGGGCCCACCTAGGACATCAGAGGAGCGGTAGGCCCTGCCTCGGCCAAGGCCTTGCTCTGGGCATCACTTGGACACAAACAAGCCAGCCCACAGCCGCTGGCTGAGCATTTTGGAGGGACTGGTTTAGGATGTTCGACTTTCTCCATCACCCTTATTCTCCTCTGTGCTTCTCCTAACAGCTGGTTACCATCTCCGTTATTGCTTTAATCATACTGTATTTTTTGTGATGTTCATCTCTAGCTCACTCAGTTCTAACTGTGGGCTTCTTGAGCACAGGAAGCACACCTAATGAATCTTTATGTTAAATGGAATGACAACATTTGTCGAGTGAGTGAGTGAGGTGACAGAAAAGGCCTTTCTTCCAGGGTTCCTCTGACTGCCATGTTGCTGCTGGTCACATTTACAGCAATCTGGGAGGTTAAATTGCCTCTGGGGCCATTAGAAATATATTGGATTCTTTGCTTTTAGCCACATAAAGTTTCCAGCAGCTGTCTGGACAGGTTAAGCTGAGTACAGAACTTCCCTCTAACCCATTGTCATCATATGTGTTAAGCATGTCAGTCATTTTGCCCAAGTGACTTGACCTTTTCTCCTCATTTGATGTATCGCTACCCTTCGATTTATAATTTTTTATAAATTTATTTTTACTCTTAATTTTATTTTTCAATTATAGTTTACTCTCTATATTATTTTATGTTGGTTCAGGTGTACAACATACTGGTTAGAAATACTTCACATATATCCCCCGATACTTCCTGTACCTTCCTGGCACCACACAGAGTTATCACTCCGTGACTGACTGTCCCTGCACTGAACTTTACACTCTGTGACTGTTCTGTAACTACCAGTCTCTACTCCTCAACCCCTCACCTCTGTCGCCCAGCCCCACCTCTCTCCTCTGGCAACTACCAGCCCATTCTCTGTATGTGTTAGTTTGTTCCCTTTTTTTGTTCTTTAGATTCCACAGGCAAGTAAGTTCATATGGTATTGCCATTCTCTGACTTATTTCACTTGCTATAATACCCTCTAGGTACATCCATGCTGTCGCACATGCTAAGATTTTATTACTTCTTACCAGCAAGTAATATTTCATTATGTCTGTACCACCACTTTTTTATCCACTTGTCTATTGATGGGCACTTGGGTTGCTTCCATACCTTGGCTATTGTAAATAACTCTGCAGTAAATATAGAGGTGCATGTATTCTGAGTCCATGGGATACACATATATGCATTTAAGTTATTTGGTTAATCTCTTCCCACCTCTGCCTTCCCTCTGAGATTTGTCAATCTGTTCCATGCTTCTATGTCTCAGAATCTGTTTTGTTCATCAGTTTATTTTGTTCTTTAGATTTCACATATGAGTGAGATAATGTGATACTTGTCTTTCTCTGACCGGCTTATTTCACTTAGCATGATATTCTCCAGGTCCCTCCATGCTGTCTGAAAGAGTAAGAGATCCTTTTTTCACTGCTACATAGTATTCCATGGTGTAAATGTACCACAGCTTTTTATCCACTCATCTACTGATGGGCACTTGGGCTGTTTCCAGATCTTAGCTATTGTAAATTGTGCTGCTATGAACATAGGGGTGCATGCATTCTTTCTGATTGGTGTTTCTGGTTTCTTAGGATGTATTCCTAGAAGTGGGATTGCTGGGTCAAATGGGAGTTCCATTTTTAATTTTTTGAGGAAACTCCATAGTGGCTGCACTAGTCTACATGCCCACCAGCAGTGACTAGGGTTCCTTTTTCTCCTCACCAGCACTTGTTGTATGTTGATTTGTTGATGGTAGCCATTCTGACAGGTTGTGAGGTGATACTTTATTGTCATTTTAATTTGCATCTCTCTGATGATTAGTGACTTTGAGCATTTTGCATATGTCTCTTGGCTGTCTATATGTCCACTTTGGAGAAGGGTCTATTTAGGTCCTTTGCCCATTTTTCAATTGGATTGTTTGTCTACCTTTTGTTAAATTGTATGAGTTCCTTATATATTCTGGATATTAATCCTTTATCAGATGTATCATTGGCAAATATGTTCTCCCATAGAGTGGGTTCCCTTTTTATTTTGTTGATGGTTTATTTTGCTGTGCAGAAGCTTTTTAGTTTGATGTAGTCCCATTTGTTTATTTTTGCCTTTGTTTCCTTTGTCCTAGGTGAAGATACTGCTATGTGAGATGTCTGAGATTTTGTTGCTTATAGTTTCTTCTAGGATTTTTATGGTTTCATGATTTACATTTAAGTCTTTATCCATTTTGAGTTTATTCTTGTGTATGGTGTAAGTTGGTGGTCTAGCTTCATTTTTTTCATGTATCTGTTCAATTTTCTCAGTATCATTTATTGAAAAGACTGTCTTGACTTCATTGCATGCTCTTGCCTACTTTGTCAAATATTAACTGAGTGTAATGGCTTGGGTCAATTTCTGGGATCTCTGTTCTGTTCCATTGATCTATATGCCAGTTCTTGTGCCAGTACCAGGCTGTTTTGATTACAGTGGCTTTGTAGTATAACTTGATATCTGGTATTGTGATCCCTCCAACTTTATTCTTTTTTCTTAAGATTGCTGTGGCTATTCTGAGTCTTTTTTTTTTGTTTGTTTTCATATAAATTTTTGGAGTATTTCTTCTAGTTCTGTGAAATATGCTGTTGGTATTTTATAGGGATTGCATTAAATCTATAGATTGCTTTGGGTAATATGGACATTTGAATAATATTAATTCTACCAATCCATGAACATGGTATATTCTTCCATTTGTTTTATGTCTTCCTCTGTCTCTTTTTTTCAATGTCCTGTAAATTTCTGAATAGATATTTTTTACCTGCTTGCTTAAGTTTATTCCTAAGTATCTTAATTTTTTTTGTTCTAATGGTAAATGGGATTGTTTCTTTAGTTTCTCTTTCTGAGAATTTATTATTGGTGTATAAAAATGCAACCAATTTCTGGATTTTAATTTTGTATCCTGCTACATTGCCTAATTCATTTATTAAATCTAGTAGTTTTTTGGTGGAGTCTAGGGTTTGTTATGTACAATATCATGTCACTTACAAATAGTGATAGTTTTACTTCCTCCTTTCCAATTTGGATGCCTTTTAGGTTTTCCCTTCTCTGATCTATGTGGCTAAGACTTCCAGTACTATCTACATATATAAAGATCCAGGGGCCGTCACATCCGAAATAACCAAACGGGTGACCAAACAGGCTGAGTGGGACAACAAGGCCGGCATTGGGCTTAGTGAGGGATGACCAAACGACTGAACAAGCAGGCTGCGTGGGGCTACCAGGCCGGAAGGGGGGTTAGTGAGGGTTGACCAAACAACTGAACAAGCAGGCTGCGTGGGGCTACCAGGCCGGAAGGGGGGTTAGTGAGGGTTGACCAAACAACTGAACAAGCAGGCTGCGTGGGGCTACCAGGCCGGAAGGGGGGTTAGTGAGGGTTGACCAAACAACTGAACAAGCAGGCTGCGTGGGGCTACCAGGCCGGAAGGGGGGTTAGTGAGGGTTGACCAAACAACTGAACAAGCAGGCTGCGTGGGGCTACCAGGCCGGAAGGGGGGTTAGTGAGGGTTGACCAAACAACTGAACAAGCAGGCTGCGTGGGGCTACCAGGCCGGAAGGGGGGTTAGTGAGGGTTGACCAAACAACTGAACAAGCAGGCTGCGTGGGGCTACCAGGCCGGAAGGGGGGTTAGTGAGGGTTGACCAAACAACTGAACAAGCAGGCTGCGTGGGGCTACCAGGCCGGAAGGGGGGTTAGTGAGGGTTGACCAAACAACTGAACAAGCAGGCTGCGTGGGGCTACCAGGCCGGAAGGGGGGTTAGTGAGGGTTGACCAAACAACTGAACAAGCAGGCTGCATGGGGAGACCAGGCCAGCAGGGGGGCAGTGAGGGGCACCCAGGCCATCAGGGGGGCAGTTGGGGGCAATCAGGTTGGCAGGCAGAGGCAGTTAGGGGTGATCAAGCTGGCAGGGGGGCCAATTAGGGGTTATCAGGCAGGCAGGCAGGTGAGCAATTAGGAGCCAGCGGTCCTGGATTGTGAGAGGGATGTCCGAGGGGTCCCGGATTGGAGAGGGTGTAGGCTTGGCTGAGAGGATCCCCCCCGCCACACCGTGCACGAATTTCATGCACTGGGCCTCTAGTCCTATATAATAAGACCCTAATATGCAAATCGACTGAACTTCAGAAGGACTGGTCACTGTGACGCGCACTGACCACCAGGGGGCAGATGCTCAACGCAGGGGGCAGCTCCTGTGTTGATCGTGTGCCCCCTGAGTGGGAGGTGACCAGCAGCAGCAATTGGGGGTGGGGCTGGCCAGCAGATGGTGCCAGGCTGCCAGCCAAGGCCAGTGCCAGCGGGTGGGAGGGGGTGATTATCCCACCCGCTGGTCACCCCACAGATGGTTCTGATCGCCGTCCAGGCCTAAGGACCATACCCTATATATTGGGAATAGTCTCTTAGATTTAAAAATTAAAACCTGGCAAGGCTGCTCTAACACTTAAAAAACAGGATGATGCAGCGATGACATGCATGGACTCTGGCTTGCACATTTTGTGGTCAGCCCTGATTCTGGCACTTATAACTGTGTGACAAAGCCAATTACTTAATTTCTCTCTGCTTCAGTTTTTGCACCCATAAGATGGGGAAAATGGTAATATTGCCTCAGAAGGATCATGTTATGTACCACATTTTATAATTAGGTCAAACAAATGTAGCTGCCCATACAACAGCAAGATGCCTTTCACCTGTATGAAAAGTATGGTCACTGGTGCATGCAGCGTCGGGCTTGCAAGAGGGATATCTGACTGCTGGTTTAGGCCCGACATCTCCCGAGGGGTCCTGGATGGAACCCCAACCCCCCACCCCCCATGCACGAATTTCATGCACCAGGCCTCTAGTGTTGAATAAGAGTGGTACAAGCAGACATCCCTATCTTGTTCCTGTTCTTAGGGGAGATGGTTTTAGTTTTTGCCCTTTGAATGTGGTGTTGGTTGTAGGTTTGAAATATATGGCCTTTATTGTGTTGATGTTTGATCCCTCTATTCCCACTTCACTGAGAGTTTTTGTCAAAAATGTGTGTTACATTTTGTCTAACACTTTTTTTGCATCTATTACATGTTCCTGTGATTTTTGTCTTTCAATTTTTTTATGTGCTATATCACATTTATTGATTTGTGAATATTGCACCAGCCTTGCATTCCTGGAATAAATCCCACGTTGTCATGGTGTATGATCTTTTTAATATATTGCTAGATTCAATTTGCTAATAATTTGTTGGGGATTTTAGAATCTATATTCATCAGGAATATTGACCTGTAATTCTCTTTCTTTGTAGTATCTTTATCTGTGTGTCTTTATCTGCAGTGTTGTTATATATCTGTGGAATTAGGATAATTCTTGCCTCATAAAAAGAGCTTGGAAGTGTTCTTCCTCTTGGGTTTTTGAAATAGTTTGAGGAGTATAGGTGTTTTAGTTCTTATTTGAATGTTTGGTAAAACTCCCCTGTGAAGCCATCCGGACCAGGGCTTTCGTTGGCTGGGAGGTTTTTGATTACTGCTTCTATTTCATCAGTTATCATTGGCCTACTCAGGTTTTCTGATTCCTCCTGATTCAGTTTTGGAGGATTGTAGTTTTTTAGGAATTTGTCCATTTCATCCACATTGTCCAGCTTGTTGGCATATAGTTGTTCAGAGCTGACGGACATAAACAACACAAAATGCAGAGATTGTCTTCAGCCTGCTCAGATCGCTCTCTTAGATGACCTCTCTGAAGACTCATCACTAGGAGAAGAGCTGGGTGGTCTCTGCAATTTCTCTACTTCAACCCTCTTTCTCTTGCAGGTCAACAATGAACGGCTGTATCTCCCTTTGAAACTGGGTCAAGGGAAGATAAATATCTTTTCCTTTGGCTTCCACGTGGTGGTGGAGACAGATTTTGGCCTGAAGGTCGTGTATGACTGGAAGACCTTCCTGTCAATCACAGTCCCACGGACCATGCAGAACGGCACCTCCGGTTTGTGTGGCCGCTATAACGGCAACCCCGACGACGACCTGGAGATGCCCATGGGGCTGCTTGCATCCAGCATCAATGAGTTTGGGCAGAGCTGGGTGAAGAGGGACACCTTCTGCCAGGTGGGCTGTGGGGACCGCTGCCCCTCCTGTGCCAAGGTGGAAGGCTTCTCCAAGGTGCAGCAGCTGTGCAGCCTGATCCCCAACCAGAACGCGGGCTTCACCAAGTGTCACAGCAAAGTCAACCCCACCTTCTTCTACAAGAACTGCCTGTTTGACTCCTGCATCGATGGGGGCGCGGTGCAGACGGCCTGCAGCTGGCTGCAGAACTACGCCAGCACCTGCCAGACACAGGGGATCGCTGTGACCGGCTGGAGGAATTACACATCCTGCTGTGAGTCCTCCCCCTTATCTTGCCTTGTGTCTTGATTGGTGTGGACATGCCAGTCTCCCATCTCCATAGGCGACAGAGAAAACTGACTAAAGCAATTTAAGGATAAGCCCTTTAGAATTGAGTTTATTGTCTGAAACAACATGTATAACCTCCCAGAGCCTTCATGTCTTTATCTATAAGGTTGAGGTAATATCACTTATTTCATATGTTGCTCTGAGGATGAAATAAAATCATTTACTTTTTTCTTTTTAAAAAAAATATTACTTTATTATTTTAAAAAACCTTTATTTTTCAGGTATGGTTGACATACAATATTATATTAGTTTCAGGTGTACAATATAGTAATTAGGCATTTATATAACTTACAGAGAGATCACCCAATAAATCTATTACCCATCTGACACAATACATAGTTATTATAATATTTTTTACTATATTACCTTTGCTATAATTTACATCCCCTTGACTATTTTGTAACTATTAATTTGTACTTTTTAATCCCTTCTTCTTTTTCACCCATTCCCCCAAACTCACCTCCCATCTGGCAACCATCGAAGTGTTCTCTGTATCTATGACTTCATTTCTGATTTGTTTGCTCACTTATTTTGTTTTTGAGATTCCATATATTAGTGAAATATTAGGTTTTTTATTTCTTTGTCTGAATTATTTCATTCAGCATAATACACTCTAGGTCCATTCATGTTTTTGCACATAGTAAGATTTCATTCCTTTTTAGGGCAGCATTATATCCATTGTATATATGCACCATTTATTCTTTAGACATTCATCTATTGATGGACACTTAGGTTGCTTTCATATCTTGGCATTGTTGCTTTTAAATAACGCTACAATGAACTTATGGATGCATATATTTTTGAATTGATGTTTTGGGTTTCTTTTGGATATAATACCCAGAAGAGAAATTGCTTGGTCCTTCTTTGTCCCCTTTTATAGATTTTGTTGTAAAGTCTGTTTTGTCTAGTGTAGGTATTGCTCCCCGAGCTTTTCTTGTGTTTCCATTTGCATGAAATATATTTTACATTCATTCACTTTCCATCTGAGTCTTTTAATCTGAAGTGGGTCTCTTGTAGGCAGCATATGTAAGGGTCTTCTTTTCTTATCCCTTCAGCCACCCTGTGTTTTTTTATTGGAGCATTTAATCTTTATATTTAAGGTAATTGTTTACAGATCTATAGTTATTGCCATTTTATTATTCATATTTTTAATATTTTTCTTCTTCTTCTTAAAGAAGACCCTTTAACATTTCATGTAATACTGGTTTGGTGTGATGTACTCTTTTAGTGGTGTGTCTGAGTAGCTCTTTGCCTGTCCCTCCGTTCTAAATGAGCGCTTTGCTGGGCAGAGTAACCGCGATTGCTTCTCTTCACTTTGAATGTTTCGTACCAGTCCCTTTTGGCCTGCAAAGTTTCTGTTGAGAGATAAGTTGGAAGCCCCTTGTAGGTAACTAACTGCTCTTCTCTTGCTGTTTTTAGAATTCTCTCTTTGTCTTTAACCTTTGGCATTTTAATTATGATGTGTCTTGGTGTGGAACTTTGGGTTCATCTATTTTGGGACTCTACACTTCCTGTGCTTATATGTCTCTTTTCTTCACCACACTAGGGAAGATTTTCATCATTATTTATTCAAATAGGTTTACAATTCCTTGCTCTCTCTCTTCTTCTGGGACCCCTATGATGCAAATATTGATACAATTTATGTTGTCCCAGAGGCCCCTTAAGCCATACTCATCTGTGTGTTTTTTTTTAAATATGCATTTATTGATTTTAGAGAGAGAAAGGGAGAGAGGGAGATAGAAACATCTGTGATGAGAGAGAATCACTGATCGGCTGCCTCTTGCATGCCCCCTGTTAGGGATCAAGGCTGCAACCCGGGCATGTGCCCTGACTTGGAATCAAACCTGTGCTCTCTTGATGCATGGGTCAGTGCTCAACTACTGAGCCACACAATCTGGAATATCCTCATCATTTTTTATTGTTTCCTTTTTGCCATTCTGATTGGAGTATTCTGCTACCTTATCTTCCAAATTGCTGATTCTGTCTCTGCTTCATCTAATCTATTGTTGATCCCCTCTAATGTATTCTCCATTTCAGCTATTGTAGGTTTCATTTCTGACTGGTTCTTTTTATGTTTTCTATCTCTAATTTTATGTTTCCTATCTCTTTGTTATTGAAGTTCTCTCTAGATCATTGAGCATCCTTATAACCTGTGTTTTGAACTCTGCATCTGGTAGATTGCTTGTCTTTATTGTGTTTAGTGTTTGTTTGTTTGTTTCTTTCGGAATTTTGTTCCGTTCTTTCTTTTAGGTCATGTTTCTGTGCCTCCTCATTTTGACTGTCTCTCTGTGTTTCTATGCATTAGGTAGAGCTGCTACATCTCCTGTTTTTGGTAGAGTGGCTTCATGTAGTAGGTGTCCTGTGGAGCCCAGTGGCACAGTCTCCCTGGTCACCTGAGCCAGGCGTTCCAGATGTGTCCCTTGTGTGGGTGAGAGTGCCTTTCTGATGTAATTTATGCTGGATTGATCTTGGCTGGTTGCTCAGGATGATTGTTTGTGAGGACTGGTCATGACTACAGCAGAGGAGTAGCTGGGTAGGGGCTGACCCTGTGAAGCAGGATTCACTTCAGTAGGGCTCTGGTGGCTGCCCTCTGAGTGTATCATTTGTGGAGGTGGTGCTCTGGTGTGGTCTAAATCTGGCCACCCTATGTTGGTTCTGGGGCCTCTAGGTGGAGGCTCTGGTGCAGGCCGAGGTCGGTTGCTGCCTGTGCCCTGCTCGGGGCCACCCAGGCTGGGGGCTGCATATCAAGACATGGGGCATTCTGAGGCCAGATGCTGCTTGTTTGGGGTTTGTGAAACTTTGAGAGGTTTTAGGAAAATCTCACAACATGAACCAACATAGCCTGTTTGTAAGGAAAGGCCCCCGGAGGCAGGTTGGGTGGACCTGCAAGTTGGGTGGGATAAGGTCTCAGGGAGTCACCAGGGCAGGACAAACAGTTTTAGCTAGGTTAATGGAGACTCAGATATGATCCCAAATGCGAGTGCAGGCTGGGTGGGGAGAGGGATCAACAAAGGAACAATTGCCTCTGCCAGCACTTATGTCTGGGACAAAACTACTCCAGTCCTCGTCCTGAAACCAGACAATTCAGTCCCTCCTCATATGTCCCTGTCAAGCTGCTGCCCCAGCGCTGGAGCTTGGAGTGAGATGGTCAGTAAGTCCATGTGTGTGTCCTTTAAGAGAAACTGCCTGGGACTCCAGCAGCCTCTGTCTCACTCAGTCACCTTGGAGCCGGGTGTGGGACTGGGGCTCCTCGCTTCTCAGGGGGGATCTCGGCCAATGGGATGTCCCTCCTGGTTCTTATCTGCCATAGATGGGTGTGGGACCAGCTCCATCTGTCTGTCTTGATGTGGCTTCTTCTGTATGTCCTTACGTTGTAGGACTTCAGGAAGTTCTGAACAATGGCTGTTCTGTAGTTCAGTTGTAATTTTTATGTGGTTGTGAGCTGCAGCAAGCACAGCATTTACCTGTTCCACTAGCTTGAACCAATCATTTATATAAAACATAGAGCATGCCCAGCCAGTGTGGCTCAGTGGTTGAGCATCAACCAGGAGGTCACACGATTCCAGGTCAGGGGCGCTCAGGAGGCAGTGGTCAATGATTCTCTCATCATTGATGTTTCTATTTTTCTCTCCCTCTCCCTTCCTCTCTGAAATCAATAATATTTATATTTTTTTCAAATTCTAACAAAGGACCGATAGGGAAAGAGTTAGTTAGTAGGTTAATTAGTTAGTTATCTCTATTACCTCATGGGCCCATTGTTGTAGTGTGTTATTCTATCTATTTGATTCATATATGTCATGTATCAGACTCTGTGCTTATGACACACAGCAAGGTGTTGAGAGCATTAGAAACAGACTGAGAGCCCCTGGATTCTAGCCTTGCTCTATCCTTGGAGCATTTCGCTCTTCCTCCCTGGTTCTTAGTCTTCCCCCCTCCCCCGATAATGCTGTGATAAAGCCGTTGTCTACACCCTTTATGCTACAGAAACATCAGGAGGATAACATTAGGTCGTTGAGAGCACAGCAGCACATTCTGTGTGTGCTAAATGGTATTATTATATCAGTGGCTTGCTCTGAGCCAATCCCTGTGCTGAACACTTCATCAACATTATCTTATTTATTCTCTTCAGTGACCCAATTAGTTGGTAAAAACCCGAGACTCTGAGGAATTATGTAACTTGCCTAAAGTTATACTATCTCAGTGGCAAAGTCTGAATTTGACCTTTTTATCCCCAAAGCTTATGCTCTCAGCCCATACACTGTACTGGTGTACTATGTACTGAAACAATTTGCCTTCATGTAACACATTGTACAGGAAAAGGGCTGGAGGAGAAACCACTCTCGGTCTTGGGCAACCTGCCTTAGTGTGTTTGCCCATCTCGGCCTCATCCGCTGCCCCGGATTTCCTCTAGACCGAGCTGTGTGAAGAGGCTACAGGTTGATGCTGGATGCAGAGGGCTCTAAATAAGTGATAAGCCTGGTTCCCGGAGAACACACTCCCTTTGCATTCTGGAAAAGGGAGATTTGGATGAAAACCCAGGAACAGTGTTATAGTTTCATACTCCTGCAGTTCATTTATATTCCACATAATGAGGTTTATGTAGCGTGTGGGAGGCAATGGGGAGAGGGAGAGAAATATGTTAATAGCATTTCATCCATAATTGGCCACAGAGTGAGGCACTGGAGTAATGATGCCAGGAGTGTCTGTCACACTCATTGGCCTCTGTGACTTCAGTAGAGTAAATAGGCAACAAAAAGCCAGGGTCCGGATAAACCCCGGAGCCGCCGTGGGTTCATCAGGTCAGCATCAGGCTGTGGTGCCGGGGCCTCGAACGGGTGCATGTGGGGAAAGAGTTTTAAGGACACTGCCTGCTCCATCTTGAGACCCACTGCAAGGAGCCCCTTCCCTGCACCCGGCACGCGAGGC